ACTTAATCCTGTCTTTCTAGAGCCTCAGTTTCCCCATCTGTACGATGAGGGTGATCATAACTCGCATGATTGTATGAGAAATGGCTGAGCTCATGTATACAGAATGACACGGAGCTGGCTGACAGCAAATGCTTAAGAAGAGGTAGCCTTGTTGGCATTAGACAAATTGTCCTAGAGTGAGGTTACAGGGGTCATGAACAGAGGTGACTTTTTGGAAAAAAGTGTAAGCTGGTGGCAGGGTCAAGGGTCGTTTGTTTAGCTTGGGATATTTAAGTATGCTTACTGGCAGAGGGAGAGTGAAAAAATATTGATGACCCAAGAGAGATGGGACCATCTGTGCAGCTAAGTCTTGGAAAACCCAGGCTGGTGTGGAATCCAGGTTATAGGCAGACAAGTTAGATTCAACCCAAGCGGCGGAGCTACTTCTTCTGAGGCAGCAATGAAGCTTAGAAGGAAATCATGAAGACACCCAAGGATCCAGGCAGAAGTTGAGGGCTCTCAGCCAAAGGGCCCCTGGGCCTCTCTGATGGGAGGACACTGATGTGGCAGCTAAAGGCATTTGGGGAGATGTTGGCTAAGTAAGGGCAGATCTCCTCTGGCAGCCCTCCCTAGCTTCCCTCCCCAGCTTCCCTCCCCTTTCACTGTCCTTCTATCCTGTATAATTGCCTATTTAAATGTCTGTCACTCCGCTAGACTGTAAGCAACTTGTGTCCCGCGGCCTCCAGCCCAGTTCCCTGCTCCTGGCACAGAGCAGGAATCAATAAATATCTGTGGAAAAACGCGCCGAACGAATGAATAAAGAAATGAGAGAATTCACCGGTGGCCCAAAAGAAACATTGAACAACTCTACCTGCAGGTGGCGCTAGCTGAACAGGCAGAGGAGAGTGGGAAGGGCATTTAGGAGCCAACAGACCTGCAAGAAGTAGCCTGAAATGTAGTGGGGACTGGGTTGGAGTCGAGGGTAGCGTGGTGTTACTGGTTCCCTACGTACGGCCGAAGGTTATTTCATCTTAGTTGCTTATAAGCCACGTTATCCTTATGCAGCTGGCTTTTGAGGCCGAAGTAATTGCGTCAGAATGTGGGCGCTGCAGCGTCTTTCGATGATTAAATTTAAAGACCATTGGCTTTAGAGTTGGGCTCTCCGAGTTAAATCCAGGCTGTGAAATCCTGAGCAAGTCGCTTAACTTCCCCGGGCCTCGGTTTTCCCTCTGAGAAATGGACATGATGATAATTGTGCCCACGCCCTCGTAGAGCTGCTACAGAGGCGGCAGGGGAAGCGAGGCGCACAGGGCTGCCTGGCACAGAGCAGGAAGCAGGCACCTAGCGGTGATCAGTGTGAGGGTTAGGGTTGGGCTTTGTGATCTGACTTAAAAGGGCTAGTGGGCATCTTGCTCCCGTCCTGCCCACTCGGGCGGCGTGGAGGAGGCTCTCCCGGCCTGGTGCACCTGCTTCGTAGCTCCTGCAGCCTCTCCCCAAGGCAGGGAGCGGGCAGCAGAGGTTCTGGGGCTTTCCAGCCAGACAGGGGGCTCGAAAGGAGGCTCCAGGGCTTGTGGGTCCGTGGCTTCCGCTGCTTCCCTCCTCCTCCGCCTTGTGGCTCACAAAGTGGCCCTTTAAATGGTTTTTATAGAGGCATAAAAGAGCCGCGGGTGGCTGGGCCCCTCCCGTGGCCTCCTAGCTGGTGGTAAATTGCCTCTTGGCAGAAGCGGCTGCTGGGAGCGCCAGCATCAATAGTAGCTGAGCCCTGGGTCTGGGGAAGCTAGCGCCTGCGCAGTGGGCCACGCAGCTCCGGCCTCATTGCTGGCCCTGCGGTGGGTTGGGGATTCTGGGGAGTGGGCCGAGGCCAAGACGTGCTCTGGACTGCTTGACTGGGCAGGCAGGGCTGAAGCCAGGCCACCTCAAGGCCTCCTTGTCCTACAGGAGGCTGGGCCCCCTGTATCCCAGGAATCCTGGGGTTGCTGGGAGTGTGCTGGGGTAGGGTTGGCAGAGATGGAACTTGGATCTTGGATCTAAGGGTGGCTGTAGCCAGAACCAGAAGCAGCCCCCATTATCCCCTTTGGCTTGAGGGCCAGGCAGGGGCTGGTGTCAAGTTAGGAGCCTGTCATAATACCCTAGTGGTTGCCAGCATCCACTCTGGACTCAAAAAGCTTAGGTGTGTGATTCAACCTTTGCCTCTCACTACGACTTTGGGTAAATCGCATATTTGGGTCTCAGTTTGCTCATCTGCAAAATGGAATTATTAAAGTAGCTTCCTCAAGTTGATGTGCTCTTACAGGTTTGGCATACACAGTTCACTCCCAGTCTGCTCTGGTCTGCATGCTGTGTCCCCTGCACCCCCCCATGCCCCCACCCGCCCCCGAATCATATGTTGAAACTTATAATGCCCAAAGTGATGGTATTAGGAGGTGAACTTTGGGGAGGTGATTAGGTCATGAGGGTGGAACCCTCATGAATGGGATTAGTGCCTTTATAAAAGAGACCCCAGAGAGCTCTCTCACCCCTTCTGCAGTGTGAGGTCACAGCAAGAAGAGGGCTGTCTATGAAACAGGAAGCTGGGCCCCAGCAGACACCAAATCTGCTGGGTGCCTTGATCTTAAGCTTCCTAGCCTCCAGAATGGTGAGGAATAAATTTCTATTGTTTATAAGCCACCCAGTTTATGGTATTTTTGTTACAGCAGCTAAAGGGACTAAGACAGTCCTACAGCCATGCAGGCATAACCAATCATAGCAGTCTCCCCTGCTAAGCCTAGATAGCCACAACTGTTGCTCCAAGTGCTGCCTAATCAATTAAGGTTGGTGCTCAGGATGAAACCTACAGACCATCACTGGCCTTGGGCCTTGTCAGACCAAGGACTACAAGCTCCATCACAATTATACCTCTTTACTTAAGAATGAATAACCCTGCAATTATTGAACATAAGCACGTTCCAACTTTCATTGCACTAGAGAAGTTTGCATCAGCCAATAGGTTATAAATAAATGTGCATATCTTCTCAGATATTTAGAGGAAGATAATGTATCTGGAGACATTTCATGTGTAGACTCTAATGAACTAAACTTCATCAGATATTTACTTAAAACAAACAGAAACTTTGGCGTTTCATTTGCCTATTAGGACCTATTATGATGCTGTAATAGCTCATAGGTCTTGAGAATCAGAAGGGATAATGTATGTAAAGTACTTGGCACAGTACCTAGAACAATGGCATTTGTTCCATAAAAGTTAGCACTCGCTAATACTAAGATATCAGTGACTGCAGCACGTGGGGTATGAATGCGCATTGTTTACCTATGATTAGGTTCTGCTACACAAACAGAAACTACTCTGCCTGATGCCATGCCCACACTCAGCTCCTTCCCTTGCCTTCCCAGGCCCACCTTCCCACTCCCGCAGGCTTCTCCTGAGAGCACCTCTATTAAATGACTTTCACGTGAATCCTTGCTCTGAGGCGTGCTTCTGGGACACCCAATCTAGGACAACCACCATGACTGGCTGATATCAGGACCAGTCAGATTCCAAGCCAGTTCACAGCAAGGATGTGAGCAAGAACTCAACAGCACCCTTGTCCCTGCTGGGCACGCTCTCATCAATAGTAGCTAACACTTGTGCCAGACACTACGTCAGCTGCTTGATATATATTAACTCAATACTCACAGTAACTCTGTGAGATAGATACTCTTATTTGCGTTTCCAGATGAAGAAGCAGAGAACCAGAGAGATCAAGGGACTTGCACAAGGTCCCACAGCTAATAAGTAGCAGAGCCTGAATTCAAACCTAGGCAATTTGGCCCTTAGAGTTTGGGTCTTAACAGTATACTCTGTAGCCTGTCACTACAAGGCACCCGGGAGAATTCAGTAACTGAAAAGCAGGGGTTATTAATATAAGCAACAGATCAGCTGGGAAGTGAATTATCCATGGCTTATTAAAAAAATTTGTTTGGAAATCAACCAAAATGTCTATGAGAAGAAATTTTGAATAAGGGCAGGCAAAATATAAAATAAAATTGAGAGTTTTTGAAAAGAATACAATGAGTTTGTGTATAACGTTTTTCTGAGGTCTTGCTGGCCCTTGATTGGGGTCATCTCTGACCTCTGGACATCCTGGCTCTGGGATCCTGTAACCTAAATCAGAAATAGTTCCTGTTAGGGTCTCCTGCCTAAAGGTCTAGGTGACATGTGAGTGGGCAAGGATGTGCACATGTAACACCAACCATACACACACACCTGGAGGTGTCATCTTTTGAAAACTAAAGAGGAATGTGCTGTTTCCATGAGACCTCTGTTGTCTGCATTCCTCCTCACAGAGGCTGGGGTCATCTCACTTAGTTGATGGTCTAGAAGGATGGTGTTGTGGGGATCACTCGAAGCTTGAGCTAAAGTGAGGGAGACAGGCATAGAATATAAGGCAGGGGACTGGAATGTTCATGATGTTGTCTTCATTCACACTTTGGTGCGGGGATGACTGAAATGCTGGCCAGCACCCCCTTCTCTCTGCCTCTCTGTTTCTTTCTTTTCATGTGACCTCTCTTCATGAGAGCTTGGGCTTCCTCATAGCATGGCAATTTCAGGGTAATCTGACTTCTTACATGGTAGCAGGCTTCCATCCAAGAGTACAAGCAGAGACTGTGCAGCCTCTTAAAGGCTATGCCTTGAACTGGCACAGCATCACTTCTGCCAAATTCCTTTGTTCAAGCCAGTCATAGGGGCCAGTTCAGATTTAAGGTAGGAGAAGAAGACCCCAGCCTTCAACTGGAGGAGTGGCAAAGAATTTACTCTGCCACAACTATGATGTAAAAAAGACATAAAGTTTTATCGTTAAGCTACTGGACTGTTGGGACTGTTTGTTACAGCAGCTGGCCTATACTGACTAATACACTCTGTCATAAATCAGGTGTAGGGGCTCATTCACATCTTCCCTCAAAAAGGAGTCCCTTCTACAAAGACCATCTAGTACATGAAGCAAAACTGAGAGAAAATGGAAGACACGGTACAAGGAATAATCTCTAGTTCTTGTAAAGACCTTTATTTTCTGATTTTCCAACTCTTTTTGCATTAAAGGAAAATATGTTCAAGGGAGAGATATATGGACTCATATTTGGTTTAAAGATAGCTTTTATTAGGGAAAAAAGTCTTGTAGTCAAAATGATCTCTAGCCAAAATGGACTGTCCTGGAAGTAATAAGTTTCCCATCACATGGAGGCAGTTGAGCAGAGGCTGGTGTCACCGGGATGCTGGATGAGGAATCCAGCTGTCAACACTTCCACTCCCGAGACTAGTTTTACTCAGACCCAGTGAGAACCCAGTTTGGTGGAATCCTTCCCATCCCAAGAGACCACTTGGTTAGAAATCTAAGCTCTAGCTCATCATGAGCAGACAACTAGGGAATGTGAACATTCATCTTTCCAGAAAGTTCAAATGCCAGGTAATAAGGAATTGCTCCTTGGCATTGGATAGGAATAACGCTGGTCTGCAGCATGGTGGAGGCATCTCTGAAACCTGAGAGAGAATGATGTGGGAAACAGGCTGCAGGATGGGGTCAACCCATGAGGCGTCCTGCCCCAGCTCTATCCTGAGCTTCCAAAGACTCTTCTGCCTACTTTCTCCCTAGACCACCTCCCACCCTCTGGCACCAACAAGCTGATCCAGCAGGGAGCTGGTGGCCGAGTGAATATCTTCAAGGCTTAGTTAAAACAGGCCATCAACACTCGGAGTACAGGTGTGCTCCTGAAAGGACAGACTGGGTGGATAGAACATGTAGTCAGAGTTTCTTAAATGCTAGTGTTTGGATAATATTGTGGATAATTTGCATTTTCTCCCTTTTCCTTCTTCCCCTGCAGGCAGGTGGCAGGCTTGGTGTTTGGTTGCCTCGGGGGAGGAATGTGTCAGAGCTGAAGGTAGAATTATCCCGGAGATTTCTGTCATTGTTCTGAAAACCTAAACGTGTTAGGGATGGGTTTGTGGGAGGAGGCGGAGCGGCTTGGGAGGCTTAGGAAAGAGAGAGAGAGGGGCTTCCCTCAGACTAAGAAAAAGAGATATCCCCTGGGCTGCACTATGAGAGAGTGGCCAGTGGACCCCTGGAGCAGTGGGAAGACAGAATGACCCAGGGAGAAATGGGTACATGGTATGTCAAGGACATAAGACCAAAGGGATTTGGGCTCCCAGCCTCACCAGAGACCCCTGTGTCCCACGCCTGGAGAGGAAGCAGCAGAGAGAACTCCGAGCTGAAAGCACCACACAGATGCAACGATAGAGCTCTCAGGGGCGACTGATGACTGCAGATCCTGTGCCCCCGGCCTTGGCACTGCGTCTGACCCCAGATCCTTGACAGCACATCCTGGGTTGAGCTGAAGGAGGGCTGGAGAACGGAGGCGGAGGTCCCTTCTCGCACCATGAGCTCAGAACAGGGAACGAGGCTGGTTACTGAGGATAGAGAGATGTGACAATTCTTATACCCCTGACTTTTGGGTTGGTTTTTTTTTTTGCGGTATGCGGGCCTCTCACTGTTGTGGCCTCTCCCATTGCAGAGCACAGGCTCCGGACGCGCAGGCCCAGCGGCCATGGCTCACGGGCCCAGCTGCTCCGCGGCATGTGGGATCCTCCCGGACCGGGGCACGAACCCGCGTTCCCTGCATCGGCAGGCGGACTCTCAACCACTGCGCCACCAGGGAAGCCCTACCCCTGACTTTTGATTCACGCTGACTTTTCATTCGTATCCCCTCTATATTTATTATTGGTGGGTAGAGAACTGAGTAAGTGACGGAGGAAATGATTGAGGAAATGATGCTGGCGTTTCCGGTTGACTCGGGGCAGCTGAGTCTGTGCTTGGTTTCCAGGGTGTCCTGGAGGAGTTCTAGAGCGGTTGCCTCCCCTGGGCTTCTGTATTCACAGTTAAGGAAGTAATCCATGCCTAATGATGCCATAAGCACCATCACACCTTCTTTTGTGTAAATAATGTCTGATAGAATGAGGTGTGAGCCTGCTGTTGCAAAGAACGCTTAGCTGTTAAATGCTTTCCTTTCCACTCCGGTGACTTTCCCTATTTACAGCTATTCCAGCAGAGCGTTCATGTCATATTAATTTCCTGCCAGCTGCTGTTTCCTCATCTTAGTTCTGAAGGGAAACCCATAGGGACCTCCCCAGGACCACCCACTCCCCACGGCACTGGCCTCTGCTTGGGTCAGGAGTCAAGAGAGAAGATGCAGGGTGAGGTCTCTTCTCTCTTGCTCTCTGGACTTGGCCCTGGAGCTTTTTTCCAACTTAGACAGTAACAGTTCCTTGACCTGGGTTTACCTGGGAGGAGAGTATTATACAGAACTTGGGGTGGGAGGAAGATTTTTGTCTTGCAGAGAGGACATAGGGTATGGGAGTAAGATGTAAAGACTCCGGTGACTTCTAAGGAGGATGGTGACAGACTAGTACTGACACTAATATTAACAGTAATAGTAACAGTGGTCATTAATCTTTATTGAGTTTTTTGCTGTGTACTGAGCACCGTACTGAGAACTTATATGCATTATCCGTTTAACCCCAACCCCACGAGGTAGGTCTTGAGTAGGCAGTATTGATCAGAGGGGAATCTGCTTATAGGAGGAGATAAGATATTGTGGCTGGTGAGTAGAAGTAAAATGAATTATGTGAGTGCATTTGGGAGAAACCATAGAGGTCAGCCAAGTCCTGTCTGGACAAAGACAAAATAAAGAAACAAGGCATGCGAAACAGTGGGATGTTTTTTGTTCTTTGACCCCAAGAGGGATTTTAACCAAGTAGAATTTTGGTCTCAGTCAAGACTGAATCCACATAGGCACCACTTTTGGTTGCCCAGGTAACAGGAGTCACACGTTAGGATAATAGCATTATAATGGGAAAAATGCAAATGAAATAAATAGTAATTAGGGAAGGAGCTGTGTGTGGCCCAGTTAGGACCACCTTGGGGGAAGGTAGACAGTAGTTGAGGGCAGGAGGGAACCATTTATGTTATGTACGAAAGTTACTTTGAGAGAACTAACACATGGCACATACCTCTGTTTTCTCCCCCAGGCTTTGGTGAAAATGGACTGGATAGTAAATCTTGCACTTGCTTGTCCACATTGACTTTCTTTTCCACCATTGGCATAGCTGCCTGGAGAAACATTTTCCTGGGAGATGGTGAAAGGCCATCCTCCTGGTGACCCGTGGCTCTGTACTTGGCTTTGGACACTGGGGCCGTGGCTCACCTGGGATCTGAGAAGGACAGCATAGTCAGTCCTTGCCTCTGTAGGGCAGGTAGGCTCAGGGCAGCCACCAGACAGTGATTTTGACAATCCGCTGCTTAGATTTTTCTTCCTGTTCTTAGTACCAGGGGGCTAGTCATGTCCCAAAGAGTCAGGGGAATAGACTAAGGGTCAGCGGTTCTCGCTATTGATGTTGCTGTATAGACGAGGAAATTGAGGTTCAGAAAGGCTAATACAAGTGGAAGAACCCAAATGTTTCTGACTCTAGTCGAAGCATATCATTCCTTCTAGCCTCTTATCCACCTTCTCAAAAGCAAAGAGACTGAGGAAGGACAAACGAGGTATAGTGGATTCATTACCAAAAATGGTCACAATCCTTCCTTTCTCTGAATCCTTTTCCCTTGCAAGATGACTATAAAGTTCCTCCTATCAAGAGGCAGAGTTTATGTCCCCACCCTGGAACTGGGCTGGCCTTGTTACTCACTGTAGAAGTGATGGTGTGTCAGATCTGAGCCCAGGCCTCAGGGGCTCCTGTGGGATCCCCTCCCATTGCCATGTGAAGTAGCCCAGGCTAGCCTGCTCGAGGATGAGAAGCCCCACGGAGTAGAGTTGACGACCCCAGCTGACTGCAGACACATCAGATCACACGTGAGATGTTGGCCCAGATCAGCAGAACGGCTCAGCCAACCCAGGGATTCAGGAGCAACAGTAAATGTTCATTGTCGTACACCCCTGAAGTTTTGTGGTTGTTTGTTACCCAGCCCTGTTGTGGCAATAGATGTCTAATACAGGAAGCTACAGAGACTCCACCCTGGAACTATGCACAATAGAAAGTTGGGTAGCAGGATGGCGAAGCAGATTCGGTGGGTCACAAGGACTCTAGGAATCTGAAACCCTCTGAGGATTCTGCACTCTGTGATGGATAGAAAAAAAAAAGATATTATCTAACACCACCCTCAGAGCCATTGCCCTTGGAGAAAGAAAAAGGAAACCAACATTCCATGCCAGGTGGTTTAGATGTACTGTTCCATTTCCTCCTCACACCATTTCACAACAGAGGGAGGGGAAGGGACCTGCTTGCGGTCTCACAGCTAAGAAGTGGCAGAGTACGGATTCTCATCCAGATCTGATGAACTCAGAGACCACCTTCTTTTTCATTGACTCCATGTTTTCTATGTAGTCACTGGGTAAGCATTTATTCCGCTGGGCCCTGTGCTGAGCTTGGGATTTCCTAGTCGAATGGTAGACAACCTCTGTCCCCAGAGAATTATGGTGCTTTGGGGGCTATGAGACGAGTCTGTTCAGAGGGCAATTCCCTCTCAGTAGAGGATTGCTGGGTCAGAGGGCTCTGAATTCAGGAATGATTAATGGATGATGGTTTCCAATAATGTGATGTCTTTGACTCCCCACCTTATTCCTCATCCTGACATGGACTTGGGATTTGGGCCCTGGTTATGGATTTTAGGCAGGACTGAATTCGGGGCTACTGCTCCACTGGGTACTGGGTTTGGCCGTGCTCTAAAATGGGCTATGGAGAGGGCTCTAGGGTTATACTTGGGTTAGACTTTGGCTTGTGTCTGAATTGCCCTGGGAATTGTTGGGTCCTCACCTGGCTTTGATTTTGGCTAGGATTGGGACTAAGTTAGTGCCCCATTAGGCTCTGTACTTGGCTTTAGACACGGGGTTCTTGGTTGAGCTGGGATCTGAAATGGATAAGGCAGGTGGACTCAGGGCCACCCCCAGGTAGTGACACCCTGGCCAGCCCCTCTCTGATTGTTCTTTCTTTCCCTTGCTCAACCATACTTAGAAGAAGGCCATACTTCCTCCTCACCCAGGAGTAGACACATTAAAGCATGCTTTACATGGTTCCTCAATCTATTTGCCACTTCCCCAAACAGCTATACCACTTCCCTGACACTTGCTATTGGTGAGTCCTGTGTTAATCTGAGTCCTAGAGTCTGTAGCAGGAGAACTCTAAGGACAGATTGTGACTGCAAAGTGCCAAGGCGGTCCGTTCCAAGAGCCTGTGGCCACTGGGTTGAAGGAGCCGGGTACTTCCCATGGTCACCTTCTGGGTGGGCTGGGGCTACCAGGCCGAGTGCTGAGGGGTTCCGTTTGTTCAAAGCAAGATGAGCAAACCCGGGGACTTAGGATATTTTCTTGGATGGGTGGGTTTGTTTTGGTGGGTTTCCCAATCAGAAAAGTTGGTAGCTGCCCTGTTTCTGCAGGATCCAGGCTTTCTACCCATGCTCAGTAAAAAGTCACAGGTCCAGAAACAGGTTTAACAGAAGGAAGGGTCAAGATTCTGGGCTGGAGAAGACAGCACGGACAAAGATGGGGCCACAGCTGGAAGCCATATTGAGAGAAGATAGAAGAGCAAGGAGATGGGAAATTTTAATAATCACATTAAAAAATTAAACCCCAGGCCCCAGCGGTTGTCGTTTTCCATCCGCTGAGATTCACAACACTTGACATCCAATTATAATTGTGGGTTCCTATAAAACAGCCCGTTAACTGCAACTATAAATTATTATTGCTTATGTGGAGAAGGCTGCGGGCTTAGTAGCTGATACTGAGGACTCTGGAAATTATTAACAATCAACAATGTCTCTTGGAGTTCTCTTGCTCTGGGGAAGATGGATGGACCCTGGAGGCATGAAGACAGCTGCCGAGGAGTTTGGAACAACATGTTCTAGCACAAAGTACAGCTGCCTTTGTCTTTGATGGAGGGAGGACTTTTCTGTCTACTGCTCCTCAAATTTCCATCTGGTCACCTTCCGTAGAAAGGAGCCTATGTGGCTGCGCCTGCGGACCTGGGATGTACAGATATGTACACACCTACACCCCCATCCCCACAGTGGCCCCCCCCAATACACAGATACACACATCGTGTAACTCCTGCCAACAGCACCTTCCTCTGATGGAAATGCCAACATACACCATGGATCCAAGGAAATACTTAAAAATTCTGAAAGAGCTTATTCCATTCTCTATCAGCCCCTGACTGGGCATCTTCGCCCCTCTGCCTCCCTCGCTCTCAGGCAGCACTGCTTCCTGTGAAGGGCAGGCCAGCCACGGAGCCCTGGGGGAGCAGCCTGGCCTTGCCCACAGGGCAGAAGAGGCGTGCTCAGCCCTGATGGAGTTTTCTGTCAGTCTGTCTGCATCCATTTCCTATCTTCCAGGGACTCCCTAGAACTTCTTGTCTATTCTCACTTTTCCAGGGTTACTACGATTTTTACTTTTTACCACTTCAGTGGTATTTTGGGAGGGAATAGAGAGATAAACATGTAGGCTAAATTCACCCTCTGGAAACCAGAAGTTGTCCATTGCATTTTAAAAATTTGATGTTTTCTTTTTTTAAAGCAACAAAAAGAATATGTAATATTAGTGACTGTTTTGCCAGACATTTGACACCTATCATCACATTGATCTTCTCGAGAATTCTATGAGGTGAGGATTACCATTAACAGCCCTTTTTACAGATGAAGAAACTAAGGCACAGGGACGTCGAGCTCATGTAGCTAGTAAACGGAAGAGCCAAATCTGAACCTGGGCCATCTAAATCCAAAGCCTGTCCTTTTACCTTATGCCTTCTTTTGGCTAAAAATAGTATTTCTTAATTACTGTCTTTTTTATAAAATGTAATGCCTTTTAAAATCACAAGAAAATATGAAATAAGAATAATTATAAAAAGCTTTCACTTTTCTTGGCTTACATCTAAGCATAATCTTTATTTAAACCCCTGAATCTTCTCTTAGTTTTTTCTTCTGCCCCCTGTAATTTTCTTCTCCTTGCGCATCTTTATAGAGGGAGATCTTCTTGTCCATTCCTGGCTTTAAAAAAAAAAAAAGGTTCTGTCAGAGAACCCACGGGTCCTTGTTCCATCTATTTGTCTCAGACCAAGGGGAGATTTGGAAGCTTGTATTTTTGTAGTTTTCTTTTGCCGGATTGCAGTTTCGGTTGCCTGTGATGAGTAGGAAGTGAATTTCCGGGAGAGTCAGCATTGCAGGAGAGAAGTTTCCTGATGGGCAAAGCAGTTTCCTTTCTGAGTTTATTTCCTCAGCGGAAGTTAGCGGGGCACTGCCCTCTCCTCTTAAGTGCCCTAATTAGGAGCTCACTGCAGAAATGCCTAGAGTGGCTTGGCGTGCTGCCGGGGGACTCGCCAGGGCCAACAGCTCCCCAGACCTGTGTCCTGCGCTGTCCCCATTGCTCTGAGCTGGGATTCTTTGTGGAACTCCCACATTAGGCTTGTTGATTGGCAAGATTCCTGTGTCTCAGGGCTGATCTCCCCCAAACCACCTGTTTTTACTTATTTGTCTGTGATCATTTCAATTGGGATTTCTGAAGGAGAGGCGTTAAAAGCATGTGCTTAACTAATTATAATAAAAATGCAAATTTTAAATTTTCTTTTGCACATGAAAAGGAACTGAAAGGATAAATACCCAAAGGTATATCTGGGCAGTGGAATTTTGGATGATTTTTATTTTTTTCTTTGTGATTTTTCTGATCTCAATTGGGAATCTATTATTTTTACTTGATTTTTAATCTTTTAATTTCAAAATTCCAAGCATATAAAAAATAACAACAGACATTCTTGCACCCACCATAGAAGTTTAACAAATGTTAACATTTGTCCTACTTGTTGTAGATCTTTTTTTTTTTTTTACATCTATTCCTTTTATAATCAAAGGCTTCACTTTAACAATCAGAGAAAGTTAACTCAGGGACTGTCTAAAGTTTTTCTGGAAATAACTTCTTTCTTGACGTTGGAACAGGCAGCCAGCACTGTCAACGGGAAGCCCAGTACCTGGCTGTCCAGGGACCCAAAGAAGATTCTGCTGCCATTGCCAGAGCCCCCAGGAGGGCAGTTGGGGGTGCAGACACAGCTTTGATGCCTGGAAGCTTTCTCCAAATTCCAGTCTTGTGACATCCATCCCTGCCTTACAGAGAGCGTGACCGCTCCAGGTGGGGTCTGCATACTAATATCCCTTGGCAGGTGTTTCTGTTTTTTATTTTTTGTTTTGGGGAGGAGAAAAAAATCCTTAGTACTCTCTCTCTCTCTTTCTTAGCAGTTTTATTGAGATATAATTGTATACCAAAAAACCCTGCACTTGTTTAATTTATACAATTTGATGAGATTGAACATATGCATATGTACCCGTGATACCATCTCCACAATCAAGGTAATAAACATATCCATCATCGCCTTCAAAAGTTTCCTTGTGTCTCTTTGTGATTTATTATTATATTATTGTGGTATAAACACTTACCATGAGATTTACCCTTTTAACAAAATTTGAAGTGCACAGTACCAGAGTCTTTACTGCATGCACCGTCGTACAGCACATCTCCAGAACTTGTTCATCTTGTGTAACTGAAACTTCATACCTGATGAGCAATAATGCCCTGTTTCTCCCTTCTCCACTGGCAGTTTTTTTAGAAATGCAGAAATGCACTGTTCTTCTCACACGTTCAGGTACATAGGAATCACCTGGGGATCATGTTAAATGTGGATTCTGACCCAGCAGGTCTGGAGCGGGGCCTGAGAGGCTGCATTTCTGTGAGCTCACAGGGGATGCTGATGATTCTGGTCTCAGGCTCTGCTACCAAGAGTGGTCTCAATGTTGGTAGCAGAGCCTCCGAGGACTTGGCGTGGTCCCCAGGCTGAAGGAGGCCACCCTGGCTATACATGGCCGGAATCTGTTCTCGTTGGTCACAGCCAATGTTGTATGGGTTTTTAAATCTTTTGAATATCACCCTGTTCCTGAAGAAAACATTTGACCACAAGAATGCCTTAGATTTTGCTCTCAGTTTTCAGTGCCCCAATTATTACAAATGATTATCATTAACTCTTTGAATAGAATCCATCAAAGTAAATGCAAAGTGTAATCTATTCTAGCTAGAAAACAAAGATAAATTTCTGTGTCTCAGATCACTGTCCGTTTTTAGCATATCCCAAAGTGAGATGAATGCCTCATTGTTGGTATGTGAGAGAATTTTACGTATCACATTGATAATTTTTAAAGACTTTAAAAATATTCTTTCCACCTGAATTCTTTTTTTTTTTAGTTGAAGTATAGTTGGTTTACAATGTTGTGCTAGTCTCAGGTGTACAGCAAAGTGATTCAGTTTTGTGTATATATATTATATATATATATATAATATATATACACACACACATATATGTGTATATATATATATAATATATATATACTCTTTTTCAGATTATTTTCCCTTATAGGTTATTATAAAGTATTGAGTATATTTCCCTGTGCTATACAGTAGATCCTTGTTGGTTATCTATTTTATATATAGTAGTGTGTATATTATCCCTCCCCCCCTTCCCCTTTGGTAAGCATAACTTTGTTTTCTATGTCGGTGGGTCTGTTTCTGTTTTGTAAATAAGTTCATTTGTATCATTTTTTTTTAGATTCCACATGTAAGTGATATCATATGATATTTGTCTTTCTCTGTCTGGCTTACTTCACTTAGTATAATAATCTCTAGGTCCATCCAGTCACTGAATTCTGAACCAACTGAGGAAAAGGATAAAAGCACAAGGCAGATGGGAGATTACCATGACATTCTTATTATGACAAAGGCAAGGCTGAAACCTGGCTTTATTAGCATCAAGGGACCTTACTAACGCCCTCGCCTCCTTGCTGGCATCCTGGGAATCCCGCTTCAGGGAAAGTGAGTTGGAGGAACAGACCCACCTACCCAGATCACTACTTGATGCCAATCTGTGGGGAGAGGGAAGAAGAAAGAGACAAAAACTAGGATTTTGATAAATTAGTTACACCCACCCAATCAAGAAATATGGACCAGTGACTATGCCCAACAACCAGGTAAATTCTCACCCCTCTGGGAAGAGGAGAAAGGATAGACGAGAATCTAAGGGTGTTGTGTGAAAATCCCTTCTCTCTGAAACCAGAGAAATGGGGGGAAAACTTCCCCTCATAGCAATAGTTGTGCTTTTGTATTTTAATTAATCAGGGTTAGTGGAGCTGATTCTCCATGTGTGATAGAAACAAAAGCTTTCCTTTTAAAATAAATTTAAGTGAACAAAAAGGAGATGATTAAAAGAAAAAGGTTAATAATAGTACAGATAATATGTGGATATATGAAAAATTGTAAAGATGATGCTCAAATATCTAATGTTTGGGAAACACTGGTCCAATTAATATTCCCTGAAATCTCAATGCAACGTTTCATATTCACAAACTGCAGATCAGGGTCGGTCTCTCATCCTAATGTTCACCTAAGGCAGCTTTAGCTCAGCTATTTGACCATTGATCATAGTTTGATTGTTTCATTCAATAGAGAGTGGTTAGAACGAATAAACCAAGACCCTTGATATATTATCAGCTTTGATTTCATATATATGCATCATTTTTGGGTCAAGTCATAAGATCTTAATAGTATTGATCCCAGGCTTTTAATTCCCTCTCCCCTCTCCCTCCCCCTCTCTCTCATTTTTTCTAAATTCACTGTGAGAATAGGAGTAGGTAGAATAGCAAATTCTTTTTCTTTAATGGCATAAAATAAGACTGTGTCCTTCAATAATTTGATGTAGTTTCTAGGTGAACTAGAAGCATGTCCTACTGCCACAGGAAACAAGGAGACCAGTATACTTTCATGCCCTGGATGTCAAGGTTACATTCACTGGTTCCAGGAGACAATAGAAAACAGCCAAACCTGTTGGCTAAATGGTGCCAGGTAGAACGAGCTAAATGTGAATTATGCCAAAAAGAAAACCTGCATTTGGCAAAAAAATCTTGACATCCAAATGGGAAACAAATTATCCTACTCAAAAGGTTCATTCACTTGGTTACCTGGGCACCATTTTGCTGCCAAATTTTCCCAAAAGGTTAATTGCTGTACACTTGTACACTCAAAATTGAAAGCAGTTTCCAAATATGTTTATATGAGGGGTGACAGCTCTCCCCACTAAAAAAGTCCCTTAGAGAAAATGGAGTCTTATATCTGAGTCCTTAAAACGTATCTAATTTAAAGGGCATTCTCTAAATAACTTTATTTTGAACCATGAGGACACCTGAAGTGAGCTGATTCACTTATCCTAAATGCTAACTTAGGATATTCATATAGATCATTGGATGGACTTGGTAACAGAAAAGGCAAAAAAATTTAACACTAATTCAGTCATTATTCCTTGAGATGTGAACTCACAGTGCAAGTCTGGACATAAACAAGCCATTGGAAGGTCATCTTAAACGAGATGTTCAGTGATTATGTTGATGGGATCATGACTTCATGTCTCCTGGGAATGGATACATGGAACTGGAAGACTGCCATGGTAGAGAACTGGTAGATTAACTCAGACAAGGTCCTGATGCCAAAGATTAATGAGAAGAATTTAAATAATATCATTTCATGAAGATGCAAGAAGGGGAACAAAGCAGTATTTTAAATCCTTATAATTGTCCAGATAATGTGATTTTAAATTCATCTGAGGATCTACAATAAATGAGACACTACAAGTAGATAACTATTCCCTTTAAATTTCTAAAAGTTTATATTAGGTTGGACCATATGAGATTTGCCATTTTTGCAGGTTAAAACAGCTGGATGTTGGCAATTTCATATGGTTCAACTTCATAAACTCAAGTTGGCAATACACACAAAAAGATATCATTGGGAAAAGGATGGGTCACCCTAGCTGTGGGGTCACCTTATATGCAGGTGTGTACACTTCAAGGTGGAAGTGGAACATTGGAATTTTCTAACTGCGGAATCTTCAAAGTTAGGGTCATGATGGTATTTAGTAGATTTATTGAATTTTTAATTAACAGAGGACCGTTTGGGGAGACAAACTGTTGGCTTCGTCAGTAGTTACTCCAATAACCCTCCTCTTTTTAGAATAATCAAGATTTTAGTTGTTTTCATTATAAACTATCATTTTTGCTCACTATTGGCCCAATTTCTTTATTAGAAGGTCTACTTTCACATGAAGTCATGGAATACTTATTTCATGTGCTGACTAGTGACACCAGTGGCGAATCATTTGCCTACAACTAATGCCAAAATCAGGTGGCTGATGCTCTGGGAAGGATAAGATCACAATTATTCCTTCTCAGAATTCTCCAGCCTTTATTTATCCCTCTATCCATTGGGACCAGCCATCATTTGCAATATCACCTTGATCTCCCTTAGAATCCCCTTAATAGACTCATCATTCTTACTGTTTCGTGTTTATCATCACTTTATGTAAGAAAGACAAATATGTGGATATTCCAGGAGTTCCTGTAAAAGGAATTATCAAGGATACATTATGTTGACCTCCAGCTCTCATGGAAAGATCGCCCTCAGGACATTGATTCTTTCTCCTTTGAGCTCACGTTAGATCGTAGGAAGCACATCACCCATCAGTTGTCCTCTTTGCCTTGACTCTTTGGAAGCTCAGAGCCACGCTTGAGTTCATTCAATGTGGAACATTTATCACATATATTTCTTTTTTTTTTAATGAGATAATATGAATATTTATATTGATAAAAGGCATAGTCCACATAAAGTTACAAATATTGTAAATCAAACAACATAGCATTCGAAGTTAAAACTCTTAGATATATAAGAAGATATTATCCAAAATTATTACCATAATGGGGCACATTAATATAGTGCTATGCAAAAATAATAAAGTAATAAAATTCCCGGGGGGAGGGATAAATTAGGAGTTTGGGATTAACATACGCACACCGCTATATATAAAATAGACAACCAGCAAGAATTTACCGTATAGCCAAGGGAACTCTACTCAGTATTCTGTAATAACCTATATGGGAAAAGAATCTGAAAAAGAATGAATATATATCACATACATTTCTTGATCTGATTCTATCTTCCTCTTGATAATTTAACTTTTGATCTGGAATTTTATCTTGATCCCTGCAGCAACTCTTCTCTCCAAAGTTAGTTTAATTTCCAAGGGAAGGCTTGGGTCAAATCCCCACCTGTCTCTGCTTGCCTTTGTTGCCACAGACCAAACACCCAGACTTGTGCCCAATTTCTTATTTTCTTCACTTCTCAAATATTATTTTCCTGCACTTAAAGAATGCTAGCTAAAAGACAATGCATGTCGTTTCTTCATTCCCAGGTCTAACAACATGTGTTGATGTCAAGTTCTTCCTAAAAGACAATTTAAATTTTTGTGCTGCAGCCCAAGTCTCTTTCTCATAAA